TTTTCTGTGATCTATTTCTATTAAATTATACTCTCTTGCTTTTGCAAAAATGATTCTCTGCTTAAATAAAACAAGTCACACCTGGCTGATGTGGCTCAGTGGTTAAGTGTCAACCCATCCACCAAGAGGTCCCAGGTTCAATTCCTGGTCAGGACACATGCCCAGGTTGCAGGCTCTATCCCCAGTGGAGGCCATGCAGGAGGCAGCTGATCAGTGTTTCTCTCTCTCCTTCCATCTCTCTCTCTCTTCATTCTTGTTTCTCTAAAAATCAGTAAAACGTATTTTTTAAAAAATTTTTAAAACAAAGGTCCATGGGTCCTAATTAACATGTGAGGTTTACTCATCTGTAAACTTGCAAAAGGAATGCTCTCTAGACAATTTGAATCAGAAAGAACTGTTGTTCCCATTGCCCTGGTTTAGCTAAAAACAAAGATAATTTGCTTCTGTGTTGAAAACAAACAAAAAATACATGTCACCTTTGTAAGCTTATCATTCAAAATAAAAAAGAAAATAAAGAACAGAAAAGTATTTTGCTACATCAAAAATTTTTAAATCTTTAATCATGTTTTATTACCATCCTACCTAATAAAAGAGAAACATGGTAATTAGCGTATGACTGCTACCCTTCCCATTGGCTAATCAGGGCGATATGCAAATTAACTGCCAGCCAAGATGGCGGCCGGCAGCCAGGCAGCTTGAAACTAACATGAGGCTTGCTTGCTTCAGTGACGGAGGACTCCAGCGTTCCCCGCCTGCCGCTGCCGGCCTCTGAGCTTGCAGTTTCAAACATTGTAACAAATATCGAAGCTAAACAAAACCCCAGAAACCTGCTTTCAGCCCGCCGGGATCTCAGAGCTGGAGTTATACATTGTTTCGATTATAGAACCTAAACAAACCAGATACCTGCTTTCAGCAGGGGAAGCCTCAGAGCTGGAGCCAGAGCTAAAGCTGGCCCAGAATAAAAAAAAAAAAAAAGAAAGGAGCAGTTGGGAACTTCAGTCACCCACAAGCCTGAAAACAGCCCTCAGCCCCTCACCCAGACTGGCCAGGCACCCCAGTGGGGACCCCCACCCTGAAGAGTGTGTGACCAGCTGCAAACAGCCATCATCCCCTCACCCAGGCTGGCCAGGCACCCAAGTGGGGACCCCCACCCTGATCCAGGACACCCTTCAGGGCAAACTAGCCAGCCCCACCCATGCACCAGGCCTCTATCCTATATAGTAAAAGGGTAATATGCCTCCCAGCACCGGGATCAGCGGAGCCGAGAGGCCTCCCGGCACCGGGATCAGCATGACAGGGGGCAGCCCTCAAACCCCCTGATCAACCCTGCTCTGTGCGTGACAGGGTATGGAGCCCCAACCCCCCGATGGACCCTGCTCTGTGTGTGACAGGGGGCAGCGCCCCAACCCCCTGATCGGCCCTGCTCTGTGTGTGACAAGGGGTGGCGCTGCAACCTCCCTATCGACCCTGCCTTGAGTGTGACAGGCGGCGGTGCCCCAACCCCCCAATCGGCCCTACCCTGAGTGTGACTGAGGGTGGCATGGCAACCTCCCAGTCCGCCCTGCTCTGTGCATGACAGGGGGCGGCGCCCCAACTCCCCAATTGGCCTTGCTCTGAGCCCGACCAGGGGCTGCACCTAGGGATTGGGCCTGCCCTCTGCCACCTGGGAGCAGGCCTAAGCCAGCAGGGCGTTATCTCCCGAGGGGTCCCAGACTGCGAGAGGGCACAGGCTGGGCTGAGGGAACCCCCCTTCGCCCCCCCCCCCCCAATGCACAAATTTTTGTCCACCGGGCCTCTAGTCTGTATATATAAAAGCCTAAGCTACCAGCTGACCAGCCAGTAGCTATGATGCACACTGACCACCAGGGGGAAGACACTCAACACAGGAGCAGAAACCACAGGCATGGAAACGTGGAACAGACTGATGAATCTCAGAGGAAAGGGGGGGAAGGAGGAAGGGAGGAGGGTGGGAAGAGAGTTACCAAAGATCTTATATGCATACTAGAAGTTGGGTGCATAGATTCGTGCACCGGTGGGGTCCCTCGGCCTGGCCTGCACCCTCTGCAATCCAGGACCCCTCGGGGGATGTTGGACTGCTGGTTTCAGCCTAATCCCTGCATGCCAGGCCAAAGGACCCACTGGTGCACTAAGCCGTGCACCAGGCTCTAGTTTAAAATAAATTTAGTCTTATTTAAATGAATGTTTTCAGTTGATAATGGCCATATATTTAATAATTTATGCTAGTAATGCTTTTTGAAGTTACTGTACACAGAAAAAATTGAATTCAGTGTTTGCATATGTCACAGTGATTTGCCAAAAGAAAAGGCAGTTGAACAAAAGAAAAAAATATGCAAGTCAGAGTTGTGGTAAAGATGGAAATAACACTGCGCTGGGAAGCAAAAGACTAGTACTAATGTAAAATCTTCTATAGAAAACAGGCATATCGCTTAACTTCTGTGAACCTATTTGTCCTCAGATACAAAATAAGTACTGGCTAGGGTATCTGTAAGGCCCCTTATAGTGTTAATATTTATTATACTCTAAGTTGTAAATTGAGAAGTAAAAGCAAGCTACCCCTCTGTTTCTCATCAGTTAGTGACATATCTTTTTACTTTGCTTATAGTCTTGAAAATGTAGAACTGAATTAAGGTTAATTATTTAGTGTTGTTCTCTAGTGTTGGATAACTGATTTTCGAAACTAGCCATAAATATAATGGCTGGAACAGCTCAGTGTAATTGAGTTTTTAAGTAAATTGAAAAATGTTCATATGTACATCTATGTAGACGTAAAACTTGATTGATAATGGAAGAAGATTGAAATTTTGATGCTTGGCAACATTTCAAAATCAGCCATAGCCCAAGCAAAGAAAACTGTTCTTTTATAGAGTGGAATAATGGAGATGATGTTATTAATATTAGTGGCTGGTTTGTTGTTAACTCTGCCTATACCCAGTGGTGTTCTGAATCTTTATGGCTATAGCCTTAAAAATGTAACTGTTCTCTCTTGCCTTTTTTTTTTATTGTTATTAATCTTCACTCCATTTTTTTCCATTAATTTTTTAGAGAGAGTGGAAGGGAGGGATAGAGAGGGAAAGAGGCATCAATTGGTTGCCTCTTGCACGTGCTTGATCTGGGCCAAGGATTGAACCTGCAACCCAGGTATATGCCCTTGACCCGAAATCGAACCTGCAGCCCTCCTGTGCATGGGCTCACACTCTAACCATTTGGCAACACCTGCCAGAGCTCTCTTGCCTTTTTTTATAAAGTAATCACCAGCAATGCACAAGCTAGTCTCCTTTTAAACTTTTAAAATTGGTTTTATTGAGATATAATTTACATAAACTAAAATGTATCCTTTTTTTTTTTTTTTTAATCCTCACCTGAGAATATTTTTCCATTGATCTTTTAGAGAGAGGGAAAGACAGAGAGAAACATTGATGTAAGAGAAACACATTGATTGGTTGTCTCCTGCACGCGCCCCAACCAGGGCCTGGGCCAGGGAGGAGCCTGCAACCAAGGTACGTGCCCTTGACCAGAATCGAACCCAGGACCCTTTGGTCTGCCGGCCAATGCTCTGTCCACTGAGTCAAACTAGTTAGGGTAGATTTATCCTTTTTTCATGTAGTAATTTTACTATATATTGATTATGTTTCTGGTTACACAGTTCTATACAGTTACCAAAATTCATCACAAAGCACACTTAAAATTAAGGAATTTATTGAATATAGATAATACTTTGATCAACCTATATTTACTCTAGCAGCTGGACTATAGTATTCCCAAATGATTAACTTCCAGAATATAAACAATACTCTGATCACTCTAAATCCAGAGACACAATCATTCTGAATCATGTCTATAACTAAGACCAGAATACTGTAAACACACACACAACCAACCAAAGTCCTCTTCCTACATAAATGATTAGTACTTATTTACCACAGGCAGCTCTCCTTCCATCTCCTAGGTAAAAAGTGTCAAGATAAACATCACTAAATTGTCCCCATTTCTTGACACCACTCATTCCAAAATTGGTTTCCACATCAACCCTCCTTAGAATGACACTAGCATTCTTGGACTAGTGGACTTTGACAAGCTATTGTCTATCTCTACTTCTTTCTTCCTCCCTTTCCACCTCTTTCTGTGTTCTCTGTCTTCTTTGTCCCCTCTCTTTTCTTTCTTTAGGTGCTGCCATTAGGCACCCTGCCTTTTCAGGCCTCATATTGCAATGTTTTTTGAGTTTTTTTTTCTTTTTTACTGTTTCCTATGATTTTTTTTTTTAAGTTACTCACATGGATATGCTCCTTATCTATTTGCTTTCTCTAATGTGCTTAAGCAAGGGGGGGGGGGGGGGGGGGAATGCTTCTTACATACAACTAACTGCTTAGACTAGACCACAATGTCCTGAAGGATACCTTAGGAGGGAAAAAACATATGCAGGGCCATAAAATATTTTTTTCTTTAAAATAAAGCTTCCTTATCATATACTGGCTACACTCACTGTTTAAATTGATCACAACTCTTAAAGTTTAGTGAAAGATTACTTTTCTCTGAAACTTTTACATCATTGATAAAAGCCATAATTAAGTGAAATTTAAGGCATGCTGCAAACTGTTCTGAATCTGCTCATGAGATAAACTTATCAGTTGGATTTCATTGGCTTTCTAATCTATGTGCTAAGTGATTTCAAGTGATTTCTAATACTTTTGATCCTTCTTTTAAGGTATGATGTACATTTAAAGACTTCGGTTTAAATTAAGAATCCATAAGCAAAAATTTCAAAAAGGGGGCTCTTTATAAAATTAACAGCAAAACTTCACTAAAGAACAGTTTTGTTATTTGCCATCATTTCTGTAACATAATCTAAATTGGAAATAATAATTACTGAAGTATTTGAGTGTGATTTTGATAATGTCCCTATTTGTTGTCTAGTGTCTCATTGTCATATGACATCCTAGGAAGCAACAGTATTCCCACTCACTTATTTTTTTTTATTCTAGTGAAAACTCAAATGCAACAAGGATTAATTTCTATAGCTGCTCGTACTGTTATTACACATCTGGTAAATCACTTGGGCCATTATCCAATGAGTGGTGGTCCTGCTATGTTAACAAGTCAGGTGTGTGAAAATCATGACAATCATTACAGTGAAAGTACTGAACTTTCTCCTGAACTCTTTGAGAGTCCAAATATCCAGTTCTTCGTGTTGAACAATACAACCTTGGTGTCCTGTATTCAGATCAGATCAGAAGAGAGTATACCTGGAGGAGGTTTATCTGCTGGTCTTGCATCAGCCAATTCAAATGTCAGAATCATAGTACGTGATCTTTCTGGAAAATATTCATGGGATTCTGCCATCCTATATGGACCACCTCCTGTAAGTGGCTTGTCAGAACCTGCATCTCTCATACTTTCATTGTCTCACCAAGAGAAGCCAGAAGAGCCACCTAGATCTAACGAATGCTTAGAAGATATAACAATAAAAGATGGGATTTCCTGTCAGTTTAAAAGATTTAGAGAAACTGTACCAACTTGGGATACAATCAGAGATGATGAAGATGTTCTTGATGAACTTTTGCAGTATTTAGGTGTAACCAGTCCTGAATGCTTACAGAGAACTGGAATTTCACTTAATATTCCTGCTCCACAACCTGTGTGCATTTCTGAAAAACAGGAAAATGATGTTATTAATGCTATCCTTAAGCAACATACAGAGGAAAAAGAATTTGTTGAGAAACACTTTAATGACTTAAACATGAAAGCTGTGGAGCAAGATGAACCAGCCCCTCAAAAGCCTCAGTCAGCATTTTATTATTGCAGATTGCTTCTTAGTATATTGGGAATGAATTCCTGGGACAAAAGGTAAGAATAAAGCAGAAGTTTTTCTTTATTTTTATACATTAGTCTTATTTATCTTTTGATCAAGCATTTTTAGTCTCTGTTCTCTTCCTCACTATCTGACTTAGAAATTAGAGGGCATATAATTGAAAATAATCTTATTTTTCCAGCCTTCACGGAAGCTAATAGGAAAAACTTTATTCTTATTCATAACACTTCTGATACTAAATGTGTGGGTTTTCCACACCATGCAGTTCCAACACTGCCTGGAGTTAACACAGACCTGAAGACTGCCCCCACTGTGGGCCACCCATACTCTGACTAACCAGCTGTAAATCGGGTTCCCACAACCCCTTCCTTGGATTCGATAATTAGCTCTAATGACTCCGAAACTTTTACTTACACTTGCCAGTTTATTATAAAGGATAGTTAAAGGATACATATAGCCAGATGAAGAGGTACATAGGGAGAGGTCTGGAAGGGTCCCATGTGTAGGAGCTTCTGTCTCTGTGGAGTTGGGAGTGGGCTTGCCTCCCAGAACATTGAATGTGTTCTCCAACCTCGAAGCTCTGTGAGCCCCATAGTTAGAGATGTTTATGGAGCTTCATCATATGGCCGTATTGATATTCACTCAATCTCCAGCCTTAACCCCTACTCCGAGGTAGAGCTGAAAGTTCCAACTTTTTTGTTTTGTTTTTTAATTTATCTTCATTATTGAAAGTATTACAGATATCCCATTTGTCCCCCCATTGATCCCACTCCTGCCCCCTCCCCAGGCCTTCACCATACTATTGTCCATGGATTATGCATATAAGTTCTTTGGTTAATCTCTTCCCACTTCCCCACCTACACCCACCCCAAGATTCATCAGTCTGTTCCATGCTTCTATGTCTCTGGGTCCTCTCTGTTCATCAGTTTATTTTGTCATTAGATTCCACATATAAGTGAGATCCTGTGCTACTTGTCTTTCTCTGATTGGCTTATTTCACTTACCAACCTTTTAATCATGGTTACTCTTTCTGGTGACAAGGCCTCATCCTGAAGTTATCCAGGAGCCCACCAAGAGTCACCTCTTTAGAACAAAAGCTCTCCAATTACCCAGGAAATCCTAAGGGATTTAGGAACTCTGTGAAGATGTTCCTGTCACCTCCATCATCGGGAATTTACAAGGGTTTTAGGAGCTCTATGTCAGGGACTGGGGGTAGAGCCAAATATATATTTCTTCTTATTTCACAGAAGCCTCACAAATTTTTTTTAGACAAATACTAATATGATCCTTTCTTGTTTCTATCAGAGGAATTAACTCAAGATTTAACATCAAATCAAGAAAAGAATCTGGATATCATTTTTTTTTATGCATGTTGTAAAAACTTGCAATCAACACACAAAGTATTCAAGTAAGTTAGGTAGGAGTTAAATGAAAAGGCATTACATAGACTTAAATAAGAAGACCCAGATTGGAGTCACTTAAACTTGGAGGAAATAACTCCCAACTAACATAATGGTGAGGATTAAATTAGTTAATGTACGTAAAGTACTAAAATTGTACACTGGTATAAAGCGTTATTAATATACATTTAATTTTTAAATTTATATGAAACTGAAAACTGTAGGAAAATAGAAGAAGCATCATTTAATTTATTGCTTCTGTTCAATTTGTAGTAGGTGGGAAGATACCGGTAGATGAATAAATCTTAAAGTAATTCACATGCATGTGAAGCATTGAAATGGAGTTCTACTTGCTTACTTTTAACTAGTGTTTAACTTGATTTAAACCCTTCCATTTATTAGAAGGCAATATCCTCTGCCTTATGGGAAAGCCACATTATATCAGGAACAAATTTGCCTTATGGTATGTCCAAATATAGTTAATTGCCACTCGTATAAATGCATTCTACTCTTTTAGTATAGAATGGTCTATATTATCTCAAGAAAAATTAAAGGTCAGGAGGCTGTATTTTACCTCAGCAAGCATTGATTTTGTGATTATAATTTGTACATATAGGCCCTGGCCAGGTAGGTCAATTGGTTAGAGCACTGTGTTCCCATGCACCATGGTTGACAGTTTGATCCCCAGTCAGGGCACATATAGGAATCAACCAATGAATGCTTAAGTAAGTGGAACAACAAATTGATGTCTGTCTCTGTGTCTCTCTCTCTGGCTCTATTTCTCTATCTTCCCTCCCTATTTCTCCCTTCCTCTCTCTAAAAATCAGTAAATATTAAAATTAAAATAAACAGTTTGTAAATACAGTAATCCCCCCTTATCTGAAGTGGATAAGTTCCAAGACTCCCAGTAGATGCCTAATATGGGATAGTGCTACATAACTACATATATATGGAATATTTTTTCATATGTATTACATATATATGGAATATTTTTTCATATATATATATACACACATATATATATACACACATATATACGTATATAGACATACCTTTAAATAGTTTAATTTTTAACTTAGGCACAGTAAGAGATTAACAATAACTAATAGTAAAATAATACTGTAAACAAAGTTATGTGAATGTGGTTTCTCTGTCTCTGATAACCGAAGTGACTATTAAGTGACTGACAGGTAGGGTATACAATGTGGATACACTGGACAAAGGGATAATTCATGTCCCAGGCAAGATGAAGCGGGACAGTGAGATTTCATCATGCTACTCAAAATGGCATGCAAAATTTATGAATTGCTTATTTCTATAATTTTCTATTTAATGTTTTCGTACCTCAGTTGACCACTGGTAACTGAAACCAGGATAAAGGGCAGGGGAGACTACTGCATTTTGTACCTATAGAACATATTTGGTAAAACTTATACATACATTTTTACATGTAAAAAATACAATATAAATCAAGGAAGAAAGCAAATTCCATCTATATAACACATGCTTATTTGGTAATGATTTCGATGTTGAGAATATTTTATTTCTCATGAGGAAAAAACTTTCTAACCTAAGGAAACTCTTGAGAAGGAATCTACAAGTATTTTTATTTCTTTTTTTTTTTTTTCTGGATATGAGTTTGGGAAGCTCACAGCATCTGCAAAGAAAAATGAAATAGATAATGATCCACTGATAGAAATATATGAGGGTCTGGGTAGAAATAATGACATATGTTTCTTTTTTGAAAAATATTTTTTTTCATTGATTTCAAGAGAGGAAGGGAGAGGGAGAGAGAGAGAGACACATCAATGATAAGAGAGAATCATTCATTGATCAGCTGCCTCCTGCATGCCCCCTACTGGGGATCAATCCCGCAACTCAGACATGTGCCCTTGACCAAAATCAAACCCGGGACCCTTCAGTCTGTAGGCCTTATTCACAGCCAAACCAGCTCAGGCCTTACTTGTTTTTTAAGGTCTGTTCTCTTTTGTGTTAGAAGTATGATAAGGCAAGTCAACTATCAAGAATTGCATTAGTAGAATAGAAAATATTTCTGGGACTGCCATGTCACTCACTGCAAAGGTAATGAAAATGTTTATAAATTTATCTGTTTAGGAGGAACTTTCATCTCCTAAAGAAAAATGAAAAACTACTTAGAGAACTTAGGAACTTGGATTCAAGACAGTGGTAAGTTGTTGGAAAATCTCAAATTTATAACTGTCAACTGTCAGCTATTTCTCTGTTTGTATGAATAGTACTGTATTGCTGAGTTACAATTTTCTGAGCAGAAACTGTATTTTATACCTTAGAAATAATAAACTTTTAAATGAAAATATCAAAATGTTAGGTATATTTGAATTATGTATACCTTTTTTATGCATTTCAGAATCATCTTTTGAATTACAGAAATTTAATTGAACCTATAAATTTATTTGTTTGTTTTCCCATACTTAGACGGCGCAAATATACCTTTTTGATTAGTCTAAGAGGCCCCAATTGAAATGACTGGTGAATACAAGCTAGTACCTAACAAAAAATACGAATGGCATAAAGAAAATGGTTATAGTTGGTTTTACTGCTATAAATCTGATTTCTCTTTAAGCCCTTGGATATGCCTTATGGTATATCCAAATACAGTTAATTGCCACTGTGAACCAGGTGGTCACAATTCGATTCCCGGTCAGGGCAAATGCCCAGGTTGCATAAAACCCCATTATAACATAGTTTCCTAGTGTATCTGGATAAAATTTAATGGGAAACCAGTACTAGAAGCAACAAAATATTACTTAACTGAAATTCGCATAGGGTTGATCCATGTTTATGTGCTACTTTCCTTTCTAGATTCAAAAAAATGAAATTTTTGGATAGGTGCTTTTGGGTACTATAACTAGAAATTCATTAATAAAGCGGCACTTTGGATATCATCATTATTAAGAATACCTGTATTTCTTTTTTTTTTTAAGTATATTTTTATTGATTTCAGAGAGGAAGGGATAGGGAGAGAGAGATAAAAACATCAATGATGAGAGAGAATCATGGATTGGCTGCCTCCTGCGCGGCCCACACTGGGGATCAAGCCCGCAACCCGGGCATGTGCCCCGACCGGAAATCGAACCCTGACCTCCTGGTTCCTAGGTTGACGCTCAACCACTGAGCCAGGCCAGCTGGGCAAATACCTGTATTTCTTAGATCTAAAATTTACAACCTCCTTAACATCCACATTTCTCACTCTCACATTTTAACTCAACTGGGGTTTTATACTTTGATATCTCCAGTTATTTACTTTTACTTTTCCCGCAATAAATATGCCCATCCACCTGTGATTTCACTTGCCTTTCTGTCCAGCAAACTCACACACTATCACCTACTTTTAAAATGCCATATTTAAGACCCTAAAAACTGTTCTATATTTGACTTTATATATATGGCAGTAATCAATTCTATAATCAGAATCTATTTCTTTTTTTTTATTGATTTCAAAGAGGAAGGTAGAGGGAGACAGAGATAGAAACATCAATGATGAGATAGAATCATTGATTGGCAAACTCCTGCACACTCCTACTGGGGATCCAGCCTGCAACCTGGGCATTTGTCCTGACCAGGAATCTAATTGTGACCTCCTGGTTCATAGGTCTACATTCAACCCCTGAGCCACACTGGCCAAGCCAGAATCATTTTTAATATGTATTTTCTCTACTCCTAGGCAGCAGTACATTACTAGAGAAAATTATCAAACCAGTGTGATATAAAGCCTTACTGTAGATTAATACTTCTTTACTTCAACCGTCTTCCCAACTGTTCGTCAAATTTCTTATTCCTGTTCACTCAAACCCTTCATTATTGTCAAAAGGTCTCTTTATTTTAACTTCACTAAGAATTCAGTTCAAATGTTTGACCTCCTGTATGAAAGACAGTGTGCTAGAACAGCAGTTCTTAACCTTTATTTAGTCTTCCTCCACACATTCACATTTGACACACATTAGTCTCATGAATTAAACCCAGTGATTTCTGGCAATTGGGGAACTAGTTTGAAACAAGCCATCCACCATGCCATCACTACATATATTACAGAAATGCAATTACGTACCCAGAAATGGAATCACTGGGTCATGAGGCAGTTCCATTTTTTATCCTTCCAAGTTATAGTCTATCTCTTCATGCCTATTACTACCAAATTTATGGAATAGTATAATCTTTATTCGTTTCCTTAATTCCTAACTGATAGGTGCTTTTTTAAAAAACTTTCCTTAGAATGATCTTTTTAAAATAATGTTTCATTCAGGTCTTTCCCACATCAAACACTCTGCCTTACATCTGTGTCTCTTTAAAATTTCTATGTTGAACCATCTTCTCTTTCAGTTTCAGAAAAGCCTCCCCACCACCCATCTATACTTTTCCTTCTCACCATCTCTGCCTGCTCTGGATCTTCAAAAAGTTATCTTTTTTATCTTGATTTTCTACTTACTCCTCTTACCATATGCATGTTTGTAATCTGCCTTTAAAGAAAACAAAACTTCCCTGTTATTATCCTTCCAAGTTATAGTCTATCTCTTTATGCCTATTACTAACAAATTTATGGAATAGTATAATCTTTATTCGTTTCCTTAATTCCTAACTGATAGGTACTTTTTTAAAAAACTTTCCTTAGAATGATCTTTTTAAAATAACGTTTCATTTCTTTGGCTATTATAAAACAAAAATAAACCATGTATTTATAAAACTATTGTTAACAATTGCTTATGTATTTTCATTATTTCTTTTTTGCTAGACATATACTTATGATTTTTTTATTTTACAAAACTGGAGTCATAGTAATATATAGTAAGTTATCTTTTTTTAAATTTATATTATATTGTAAACATTTTTCTCAGCCATTTTGATATTCTTCAAAAATTTTTTTTATGATGCTCAGTTATTGGACATTTAATTTTTTTTTTTAATGTCTTACCCTATAGTAGATTTCTAGAAATATAATTATTAGGCCAAAGCATACTAATTTCTAGTGTTACCAACATTGTATAAGAATACCTATGTAACTTCAACCTCACCATATACGTAAAATTATATGGTATTTGTCTTTCTCTGACTTACTGCACTTAGGTCCATATATGGTGTTGCATATGGTAAGATTTTATTCTTTTTTTATGGCTAAGTAATGTTCCATTGTATATATGTACCACATCTTTATTCAATCATCTGTTGATGGGCACTTGGGCTGCTTCCAAATCTTGGGTCTTGTAAATAACACTGCAGTGAACATGGGGGTGCATATTCCTTCGAATTACTGTTTTGGGTTTCTTCAATTACATACCCAGAAATGGAATCATTGGGTCATGTGGCAGTTCCATTTTTTATTTTGGGAACCTCTACACTGTTTTTCATAGTGGCTACACCAATTTGCAATCCCACCAACAATACATGAGGGTTCCTTTTCTCCACATCCTCACCAACACTTGTTTGTTGATTTCTTGATGATTGCAGATATTGTGCCAACCTTGCATGCCAGGAATAAATCTCACCTGATCGTGGTATATCACCTTTTTAATGTATTGTTGAATTTGATTTGTTAATATTTTTTTGTGGATTTTTGGATCTATGTTCATCCAAGATAATGACCTATAATTTTCTTTCTTTGTAGTGTCTTTATCTGGTTTTAGAATCAGGATAATGTTTGCCTCAGAAAAGGAGCTTGGGATCTTCCTACTCTTGAATTTTTTTGAATAGTTTGAAAAGGATAGGTATTAGTTCTTCGAATGTTTGGTAAAATTCTCCTGGGAAGCCATCTGATCCAGGATTTTTCTTTATTGGGAGTTATTTGATTACTGCTTCAATTTTGTTGGTTGTAATTTGTCTCTTCAGATTTCCTAGTTTTTCTTGATTCAGCCTTGCAAGATTGTATGTTTCAAGGAATTTATCTATTCCAGATTGTCCAATTAGTTGGTATATAATTAATAGTATTTTCTTATAATCCTGTGTATTTCTGTGGTGTCAGTTGTTACTTCTCTCTCATTTCTCATTTTATTTACTTGGGTCCTCTGTTTTTCTTGATGTGTCTGGTTAAAGGTTTATCCATCTTGTTTATCTTTTCAAAGAACCATCCTCTGGTTTTATTGATCTTTTACATTGTTTTTATTTGTTTTAGACTCTATGTCATTTATTTCCACACTGATCTTTATTATTTCCTTCCTTCTCACTTTGGACTTTGTTGTTCTTTTTCTGATTCCTTTAGGTGGAAGGTTAGATTGTTTATTTGAGATTTTTCTTGTTTCTTGATGTAAGCCAGTATTGCTATTTTCTTCTTAGGACTTCTTTTGATGTGTCCCGCAGATTTTAGGCTGTTGTGTTCTCATTTTCATTAGTGTCAAAGTATCTTGATTTTTCCCCCCTTGATCTCATTGTTAACTCATTCATTGTTTAATAACATATTATTTACTATTAATGTCTTTGTGGGTTTTTCAGTTTTTTCTTGTGATTGATTTCTAGTTTCATCCCATTATGGTAATATATATATACTAGAGGCCCGGTGCACAAAAATTTGTGCACTTGGGGGGGAGGGGGTGTCCCTCAGCCCGGCCTGTGCCCTCTCACAGTCTGCGACCCCTCGGGAGATAACGACCTGATGGCTTAGGTCTGCTCCCGGGTGGCAGAGGGCAGGCCCAATCCCTAGGTGCAGCCCCTGGTCGGGCTCAGAGCAGGGCTGATTGGGGAGTCGGGGCGCCACGCCCTGTCATGCACAGAGCAGGGCGGATCGGGAGGTTGCGATGCCAACCTCAGTCACGCTCAGGGTAGGGCCGATTGGGGGGTTGGGGCACCGCACCGTCACACTCAAGGCAGGATCGATGGGGAGGTTGCGGTGCCACCCCCTGTCACGCACAGAGCAGGGCCAATCAGGGGGTTGGAGTGCTGCCCCCTGTCACGCACAGAGCAGGGCCCATCAGGGGGGTTGGGGCTCCATACCCTGTCACTCACAGAGCAGGGCCCATCAGGGGCATTGGGGCTCTGTACCCTGTCACTCACAGAGCAGGGCCCATCAGGGGGTTGGGGCACCGCCCTCTATCACCCACAGAGCAGGGCCTATCAGGGGGTTGGGGCACTGCCACTCTCACACTCAGGGCAGGGCCAATGGGGAGGTTATGGCTCTACCCCGTCACACACAGAGCAGGGCCCGTGGGGGGGGAGGGGGGTTG